GCCACTTCAAATGAAAGAAACATGGAATGAGGTCTCCTGATGGCAAAGGGCTAACTCTGACCTTGCTCTCTATCCAAAAACAACTCATTCATTCAATGTCTTTTGGAGTAAGTCTTCCCCAAAAAGAGGCGTGTTCTAGTTAACTGATGAGTCTCCTCAATCTGTTTTACATATTCTGTCTTCCTCTGTCTTCGTAAAGCGATTACTTAGAAGGCAGTGGGACTGCTTGCTCCGCTTCAGGACTCTCATTTTCAACAACACGCAGAGGGGCCGACAAGCGGCCACCTTCCAGGACAGCCTTTTGGCTTTGCAGCCCTCGCCTGTGCGTGGGAGCAGGCTCTCTGTCCTGCCTGAGTGGACCTGACCCCGCTCTGCTTTCTCCCACCCACCTGCTGCTTGTCACCTGCACTGCACAGATTTTGCTTTCATCTTGAGCATCCACAGTGAAGTCATCTCCAGACATGAGCTGTTATCATATTAATGTGAAGTACATGTTACTCCTTAGTTTAAAATCTTTTTTCTTTCTCCTAAAAGGAGTTACAAGAAACTTAACAATGGATACCTGTAGTGAAATGGCTGGCAAAAAGAAGTGGGAGGAGAAGAAGGAGCTTTTTGTTTTCCTTTAGTTAACTTGGATTGTCTAATGTTACATGCACTTTAGTTTTACATTAACAGTGGTTAAGTGGGAAGGGAGAATTTTTATCCTTTTTAGCCTTTTTTTATTAAACAAAGAAACAAATCCCTATGTTCACATTAGCGCTATTTACAGTAGCCAAGACATGGAAACAACCTAAAATGTCCATCCATGGATGAATGGGTAAAGAAGATGTGATACATGCGTACAATGGAATATGCCAGATAGCCACGATAGTGTGATCACTCACCTAGAGCCAGACATCCTGGAGTGTGAACTCAAGTGGGTCTTAGGAAGCATCACTACAAAGTGAATGGAGGTGATGGAATTCCAGTTGAGCTATTTCAAATCCTAAAAGATGATGCTGTGCAAATGCTACACTCAGTACGCCAGCAAATTTGGAAAACTCAGCAGTGGCCACAGGAATGGAAAAGATCAGTTTTCATTCCAATCCCAAAGAAAGGCAATGCCAAAGAATGTTCAAACTACCACACAACAGTATTCATCTCACATGCTAGCAAAGTAATGCTCAAGATTCTCTAAGCCGGGCTTCAACAGTACGTGAACCGTGAACTTCTGGATGTTCAAGCTGGATTTAGAAAAGCCAGAGGAAACCAGACTTCAAATTGCCAACATCTGTTGGATCATAAAAAAAAGCAAGAGAGTTCCAGAAAAACATCTACTTCTGTTTTATTGACTATGCCAAAGCCTTTGGCTGTGTAGACCACAACAAACTGTGGAAAATTCTTAAAGAAATGGGAATACCAGACCACCTTACCTGGCTCCTGAGGAATCTGTATGCAGGTCAAGAAGCAACAGTTAAAACTGGACATGGAACAGACTGGTTCCAAATTGGGAAAGGAGTACGTCAAGGCTGTATATCGTTACCCTGCTTATTTAACTTATATGCAGTGTACATCATGCGAAATGCCGGGCTGGATGAAGCACCAGCTGGGATCAAGATTGCCGGGAGAAATATCAATAACCTGAGACATGCAGATGACACCACCTTTATGGCTGAAAGCAAAGAGGAACTGAAGAGCCTTTGATGTAGGTGCAAGAGGGGAGTGAAAAAGCTGGCTTAAAACTCAGCATTCAAAAAACTAAGATGTTGGCATCTGCCATAAAAGGGATGAAATAACGACATTTGCTGCAACATGGATGGACCTATAGATTATCACACTAAGCAAACTAAGTCAGAAATAAAAAGACAAACATCATATGGCATTGCTTATATGTGGCATCTCAAACATGACACAAATGAAGTTATCTACAAGACAGATGTAGAGAACACACTTGTGATTGCTAGCCTTGGGGTGCAAGGGAGGGATGGACTGTGAGTTTGGGATGAGCAGATGCAAACTGTTATCTGTAGGATAGATAAAAAGGGTCCTACCATATAGCACAGGGAACTATATTCAATATTGTGTAATAAACCACAATGGACAAGGAAAAAACAACCTGATAATATGCATAATGATATCTATGCATATACATTTCTGTATATTCACTCATATCTGTAACATGAATACATACACACAAAGACAAATTTTAAAAATGCCTGTGGCAATAACTTAAATTTAAATTTCTTTCCTAAGGGTCCATTATATGATAATATTTATATACTGTGGTTGTTGGAAATTCTAAATTCCCTTTGGAAGTAATGTCTATGTATTTATGTGTCTGTGTCCCTATATTTTAAATTTATGAATTAATAATTTCTAAGTATCTCTCAAAAATATTTCCTGGGGGCATATGAGCTATTTCTAAAGATAATTTTGAAGAAAAGTCTTTGAGTTAAGTTGACAAAAGAATGAACTCTCCTGTGGCATATCTTTTAAGATTGCAACCTACACTGAGAAAAATAAAATGGATCTTTCCAACAATTTTCCAAAAATTATCTAATGGCCTAAATTGTGAGATCTCACTTTATATTTGTAATTTTCTTCAAAAAATTAAAACGCATATAATTATTGTGTGTTAAAAGGCAAGGATACAGATATAAAACCTCATGAGAAAAAAAGACTACCTATAATTAAAGAATTATTGCCAATATTGGTATTGGCTTAATTTCTTGAAATCTGCTCCTCCACTCTGAAAAAAGACACCTGGGAAAGTCTACATGATGTTTTATCTCCCTGAAATGAAAAGTGTATCTATTCTTGTGGGTTTGGCACGTCTGATGAGCTTCTCCAACTTCTGGTATTACTGAGCCTCAAGAATCTCTCCAGCAGAGATTGCTAGAAAGCTTTCTGTCGCCACCACTGAGCATGTTGGGTCATGCTCTCTGACTCTGCAGGGAGTGTGCTGTGTAGAGGCAAACCCACGGGGACCTCTCCAAACCCAGGCGGGGCTTGTCCTGCCGTCTACCCCAGGCTGGAAGCTGCCCATCCGGCCTCGTGTCTCATGAAGCCACTGGACTCCTCCCTGTAAGACTAACACAGTCTTGTCGGGCAGGCAGATGGGGCAAGCTGAACAGGGGCTTAGGGAAAGAGCTGGCTCTTGACCATGTGGACTTGCCTGAGTCATCTCAAATACCCACGATGCCCACGCAGCCTGGCGAAGTTGGGAGGGAAGGTCAAGGACCAGTGAAAACAGAGCTTGTCAGACTGCAGGCGCTCAGCAAGCGCTGGTTGAGTGAGTGAGTGAGACCATGATTCCACTTCTCTAACGCAAGTCATCTGAGCAAAATGCTGCCATCTCCTTCTTTAAGAGTCTGTTTAAAAAGGGACACTGTTCACGTGCCTACTGGAAAACATGGACTGAGCAGGAGCGTAGAAGCAGAAGGCGGAACAGGAAGCAGCCTTTAGTGCTCTCTTTCCACACAGGTATAAACCCATCAGGCTTTCGCAGCCAGAGATACGCTCTGCAGCAAACTAACCCTGCGACAACAGAACTTCATGCTTTCACTGTCATGGGCCCAGGTTCAATCCCTGGTCAAGAAACTAAGATCCTACAAGTTGTGTTGTGCAGCCAAAAAAAAAAAAAAAACAAAAAACCCCACAACAACAAGAACACAACAAAGTTGCTTGGGGGGGGGGGGCTCATATTTTACTTTTAAGGAAACAAATTTAAGTCCTGTGAATTCTCACCAGGTCAGAAAATCACATCAACATTCATGTAAGTGCAATAACTAACAAACGCAAAGAGGAATCACGTATCTGCCTCTTGTACTGGCTATGCCACAGCAGTCCTTTATTATTTAGGTCACTTAACAGAGTAAACGGCAGCTTTCACAGACTCTCAAAGCTCTAAAAGCCCTAATGGTCAGCGGGCTCAATTACCAGAACACAGCCCGAAACCCTACCAGGGAAACGCAGAACTATATACAGAAGCAAGATCACACCCCTCTGTCCCACAGTATGTTTGTTGAACACGTTAAGTCAACACATCACTCATGTCCTAACCACGACATACTATTTTCTGTTATGCTATTAAAAAGTACAGCTATTATGGAGACATGTCATTATTAGAACAGCAGTTTAATACCAGCAGCATGACTGTACTGTGTGGATATTTTAAATTAAGGAAGACATTATATCAATTTCTGTTAATACTGTCCTCTTTTTAGTCTGAATTTGAATGGAGGATTCTTAAAGTGAGTCTAGCCTTCCATTTAATACAGAATTTCTCTCTACAGAATATTTTAAAAGATTATGCAATAAAAAATAAATGCAGGAACTTTAAATATTTATGTTTCTAAATTCCATAGGAAGTGCTGAATATGGATTACTACTGTTTTGTATTTTTTAAATAAACTTTTTCTAGATTTTGGACACATGGTTATGATATTTAAATATTGTCTTTTTATTTTAAATCATTGCCAATTACTCTACATAGAGATTTGTCATGCTGAATTCTAATTCTGTTAAAATGACTCATAATACAAAGCCTGTACTTAGAAACAAACTTCGAAATCAAGCTGTAATTCTTCTTTGTAAAATATAATAAGTACTTCTGGCTAATACATACAATAATAAGCAGATATACAGCATCTAAGATGTCTAACCTCAGAACTAATTTGTCAAATGCTATCACAGAGCACCTATGGAAATGAAAAACACCTCAGCATGAATTGTCAATTAAAATGTGGTGTTAAAAGAACCACAAAATCTAGAGCGCCATATATTGCAAGGAAAGAGACTAGTACAACCTCAATTAAAAAAATAATAAAAGACAGATTTGGCGTGAGCAGGTTTTGACACGAGAGGGGACTTTTTGTCCTAAACAACAGCGCCACTCAGTGGTGGAACAATGGAGTGAGCCGATGCAAGGCACGAATGGAGGGTGGGAAAGGACGATGGAATCTGGGAGGAGGCAATGAGAGGCTGCAGGCAGAGATACTGCGTTGCCATGGTGACTGTACCTGGGAGGTCAGTTAGGGTCTGGACAGGAACAGAAACCTGAGCTTCACTTCCTGTAACTACATCACCTGGATGTCATAAGAAAAAATAATTAGATTCCATGAAGAGGAAAAAAATTAGCTTTTCTTTCATATTTAATGTTACAATACTTTTACCTACCAACCTAATTACTAAAAGTACAGTGAGTCAAACTATAACACAATCTTAGAAAAATTAATATAAAGTATTTCTTAAAGGAACTAATTTTTAAAGTGTTTCCTTAAAAGTGTTTGTGCCTGTTTTTCTTGAGGAAAACGTTTCTACAGGTCTAAAGTACAGGAAACTTGCCATCAATGGATACTGCTGAGCAGATTTCATTGTCCTACAAAAAAAGCATGATTTTATATTTTCTTATTTAAAAAATTCTTTATCCAAAAGTAAGTATGTATTTAATTAAGAAGTAGAGATGTTCCTTTGAAATCGATTTCCTCCTGTAACAGACAAAATTTATTTTTAACGAAACTTGAAACCAATTTCTTCAGTGATAAGATAAAGACCTCAACAAGTTCTGATTTCATATTAAGTACTGAAAAGATTTCTTAAGTTACCACATGCACTTATAAATGTCAACATGTAAAAATAAACCTGTGAACTGCATACCCTTTAAACTTGATACACTTACTATAGGCAAGATTTCACTTACAAATTGGACCTGTAGGAAATGCTTAAAATAAAGAAGTGCTCAAACTCAGAACACACACAAGGGAAAAGGAGACGCTGGGAAGCTCCTCAAAACACAGGAGAGAAAAAAGGAAAAGGGGACGCTGGGAAGCTCCTGAGGCACAGGACCACTGAGAAGCAAGGTTCTTTCGGGTCTTTGCTTTCCTTCCTGGGTGACAAAGCTCACCATGAAGCACAGTCACTGCCAACCGAACCCTCTCCTGGACAGGTCAGCATCTGAAGCCTTATGCTATTCTGAGATGAACAAGCTGAAAAACAAGCCTTCTTAAAAGGCGTCACATTTTCTATGTATGATAACACATAATTAACAGATCTGCTTTCCCTGTAGCTCCTACACAGTAGCAAAAAAAACAAAAATCAATTTTTGAATTATATAACAACCTTCAGTGCCTTGACCACTTGCTACAATGATGATTTACAGCACAGACAGCTCATCTGGAAATTACTGGGTTGTAATTAGACCATGCCTATCAATTAACAGCACATGCATTTATATTCTCCCATAGCTGAAATAAAATCTATAAATAGGTACATACTCCAAATAACTGATAAACAACTTTTAGTGGAACTTCCCAGGTCCTGAATTTTCCTAATACAGTTAACTCTCTATTCACCGATAAGCAGTGTGCCTCATTTCAGTACATATGAAGATTTTCAAGGTTACGCTCCCTACTCATTTTACTCTGCAGCTTCTGGATCACCTATGAATGTATATTTAGAGACTGAAGCTAATTTTAATATTGACGTCACCTGGAAAATGGTGGAGGACACTCTGTGCTCTCTCCTTCCTTCAGGACCCCACCCCCAACACAGATACCAACGGCAAAATGCACTTCAAGTAACAGATACCTGAACGCTGACTTTCCCACAGAACTCTTCCTCTATATGAGCAGAGATAATCGGAGTTAACTAACCTGGGAAAGCCATAAGGGCTTTCATCTGCATAAACAGCCGCGTCTGGAAACAACGATCAAAGTTTCCTGCACAGAGAACTAACAATGCACTAAGCACGCGGCTGCTCTGAGACAGTCAGCAGCCCTGTTCCAGGGCGAGGCTGGGGAAGCAGTCAGCGCTGGGCTCACTCCCTTCCGGGGCCAGGGGACACAGCTGAAGCTTCAGGCCAGCCTCGGGAAGCGGCAGGACACTTGTGGGAAACGGCCGCAGAAAGAACCGATGCTGGAGGGGAGTTAACAAACACACCTTTCATCTAAGGAACCATAGGTTTTCAGAGCTGGCATGCTCCCCAGGGGTCAGTTCAAACCCCTTATTTCTGGGTGAGGAAAAGGGTCAGAAAATTTCAGGATTTTGCCTGTGGTTCACTGGAGAGCAAGAGAAGGATCAACCTACCCTCGCTTCTACCGGTACAAACTGCTCTCTTCACCTTCTGCTCTATTTTATTAAAACCTTTACTCAGGGAGGGGCGCTGACAGACCGAATCATCCTTAATATGAAAGGAGAGAAGCCTTCTGTAGGTTGACGTGAGAAGAATAAACCAGAAATGAAAAGAAGAGTTGCCAAACAAGGCCACTTCCGTGTCGCGCAGGGATCGGTTAGGAGACGCCCTAGCGATGCTCGAGTTCCAAATGCTTCGCTTAAGTGCTCTGTTGTTTCCTTATAACTGGGGACTTAGTTTTCATCAATTGTTCCGTCCTCATGTACTGCCTTTCTCACTCACTGTGATATTAATACTAGACATTTCCTTAGAGACACAACTTTGTATTTCTATAGTCATTTGGCTTGGTTCCTCAGAAAATTTAAGCTACGGCATTAAGAGATTCTCTGACTCATTTGCCTGCCATCAGTTAGAATTACTACTGACTATGGCTTGTTATCAAAGCAATATTGAAATCATATTTGTTTAGAACAATAAAACAGTACAATTAAGAAATATATAGAATAACATTCATTTCCATCCTGGAAGTGGGCATGTCTCCTGGCATTAAAATACATTTACAATATGTTAAGGATTTGAAATCTCCTTTTCTTCAAATCATGTGTGATAGCTCTACATTAAAAAGAGAAGGGTATAATAATATTAAAAGATGTTCCTATGTAAGGTAAACGGAATATTCTAATAGAAATTTAAACAGCAATTATATAAAGTCTAATACTTCATATAGGCAATGAGAGATAAATGTAACTACTAGAACACACACTCATTGTTGAAGAACACATTTTGCTTACTGTCACTGGCACATAGAGTCCATTTAACTTAAGTTTACCAGTTTAAATACCAGCAATTAAAATTTTTGATAACGTTGGATGCAATTGTCTTAAGCAGAGTATATGGAACATGGGTTAATATTTAACGATTTAATATATTATTGTTACTGTCAACAGTGAATGTTGGGAACTGAACTTGGCTACGACCCAGGGACTCCTTTACGGCGTGGATGGCCACAGACTCCAGGCTTTGTGAGGCCTCGGGAGTGATTTCTGTAGACTTTCTGCCATCATGTTGGTGTCTCCTGCTTCCGGAATATAGACAGCAGAGCCTCAGAGCTAAAAATAAATGTAGCTGTTTCTAACTGGCTATGAGTCGGGTTACTCGATTCACACATCTTTGGAGGTAAGTGGAAAATATGAGGCGGCCCGCAAGGCTGTCTTAGGAGCACGGGGGAGCGGAGGTGCTGGGAAGCCCCTGAAGTGGGGGGCAGGAGCCCGCCGGCACAGCCCGGGAGCCGCGCACACCGAGCCGGCCTCGCGCTCCCCGCCTCCCCCAGGGCGCGCACGCAGACCCGGACCCTGGCTGCCCGGGCCGCCCCGGCTGCCCCGCCGCCGTCGCGGCTCTGCTTCCTGCTCCTCCGCGGTGCAGCAGCTGGGAGAGGGGCGCAGGCCCGCTGACCTGCCGCCTCGGAACCAACGGCGGGGGTGAAAGCTGGGACCGGCAGCGCCCAGGGTCCCAGGCCCGCCCCTTGCCAGCGCTCTCCTAGCCAGAGGCACCACTGCAGCCGCGGGCAGAGCCCCCGGTCACCAGGCCTCAAGCTCTCTGCGGTGACGGTTCCCACCGCGCGCTGGGCGTCACCACGACTCAGATGCAAGCGCACTGAGCACAAAGGTGAGAAAGTACCTTAACAAATCACCGCATAAAAAGTTCTTAAGAACAGTATAATGACTGAAATTCCCACTTAAAAAGAATCTGACATGTTTTACAGCCAAGTTTTGCATTAATTTCTCGTTCTGGGATGGTAGTTCCCCGAAGTCAGGTGAGGAAGGCCCAGGTTCTGGTATCTTCCCCTTACCTTTGTTCAGCTGCACGGGCATGCTTTCCGATTTCATCAGCCGCTGCTGCTGCTGCTGCTGCAGGGCGTGCCTGGGGGCTTCCGCCAAGCTCTTGGTGGGAGCTGCGGCCGGGGAGGGGGCGCCGCCACTGCCGGCTGCCGCGGGGCCGCCAGCACCGCCCGGGGCCACCGCGGGAGAAATCAGCTTCCTTCCGAAGTTAATCAGGCTGTTTGAGACCTTATTTATATTTAGGGGAGCGCCTTTGGCATTGGTCCTGTTAAAAAAAAAATAGGTGGAGACACATTGTTTACATTAGAGAACAACTCTATTTTACAGGGCACCCCACTCCAGTACTCTTGCCTGGAGAGTCCCAAGAACGGAGGAGCCTGGTGGACTGCAGTCCATGGGGTCGCTAAGAGTTGGACATGACTGAGAGACTTCACCTTCACTTTTCACTTTCATGCATTGGAGAAGGAAATGGCAACCCACTCCAGTATTCTTGCCTGGAGAATCTTAGGGACAGGGGAGCCTAGTGGGCTGCCGTCTGTGGGGTTGCATAGAGTTGGACATGACTGAAGCGACTAAGCAGCAGCAGTAGCTATTTCACATATTCTGTTATATAAACACATGCTTTCAAAAGGGCCATTTATGAGCTCAGGTACACAAATTGAGGTATGGAAACTTAAAGTGACCACAGAACATCCAACTGCAAGATTTTTGAAGATGTGGCTTATGGGATTTTTTTGGTTTACTTTTCATTCCTTTATTCAGCAGGGCCTAACAGTGCCAACACTACAACTGCCTAAAACACAGTGCCCCTCCTGGAGAGTCCAGGCAAGAGGTACATTTTTTGCACTACCATGGAAGTAGGTGGTGACGGAAGCCTGCGATGCAGGCTCTGAAGGGGCTGTCAGGGCTGGGCAAGCCCGGGGTGACCGCAAAGGGGAGCGAGGGTGGGAACAGGTCTCCCCCAAGGCCGTGTTTCCCCCGATTCTGAAACAGAAGCGTCTCTGACAGCCGTGCAGCCAGCTCGCAGAGTCGATCACGACCCGGGCCCTGAGAGCCGAGTCTGCCCTCCCCCCGCCCCCGCTTCCAGCCTCTTCCCACGGCCCTGCTCCCCTTTCCCGACACACCACGTTTTCCTGGCCCGCCCGTTGTGTGTCCAGTGCAATAAATGTCATGGAGACAGCACGTTGGTCTCCATCCCACCAGTGCCAGCACACACTAGGTGTTCTGCCAACACTGTTACAAGGCAGACAGACCCTTCTCACCTGGCCCCCGGCCACAGCTCGCCGCCCACAGGCAGGGTCCCAGCGCTGCTCTCAGACCCCCCCTTTCTGCTGTGTCTTCCTAGGAGCACGCCACCTGCGCACGGCTGCAGCCCTTCCCCTGCGAACGCTCACTCCTTCCTGGTCTCGCCCTCCTCACAGTCTCGGTGAGTGTTCTGTGCTTCAGTCCCGGCCCACTCGGTCTGGCCGTCCCCGGCTCTCGGCCCACCCCCGAGGTCACAGTGACCGCGCTGCAGGGCCCAAGGGCCACCCTCACCAAGCCGCTCAGCACTCGGCCCCCCCCCCCACGCTCCCCTCCCGCTCATACAGGCCTCTCCTGGAGCCCGGGGTTTGCCAGCGCCAATGCTCAGCCTGGCAGAGAGGGGACACGGAGTAAATGTGTTAAAATGAAAGATTACTTCCCAAACGAGTCGTCAGCTTTAAGTGTCTCAGGGCTATTATCCAGAAGACCAGGTAAGATTATTTCACTTGCGGAACACTGTCCATGTCAACATCAGTTTGTAATCCAGTCATTAATAGCAGCTTATTTTCTCACACTCAGCTTTGCTTTCACAAAAGTAGCAAACAGAAAATCAAATCTGAGAGACTCACTTGTCATGATTTCAGTCACCGTAAATTTTGCCATTGCTGCCTTTTCTCAGACCTGTCTGGCAGCGCACACATGGTAATTCTCCTACATTTCCTGTGGCAGCTGTGTCCTTGCCGCCGCCAGCTGCTGCTCAGTCGCTGAGTTGTGTCTGACTCTGTGGCCCCCTTGACTGCAGCACGCTAGGCTTCCTGTCCTTTACTGTCTTCCCAGAGTTTGCTCAAACTCATGTCCATTGAGCTCGCAATGCTACCTAACCATCTCATCCTCTGTCAACACCTTCTCCTCCTGCCTTGCTCTCGATCTTTCCCAGCATCAGGGTCTTATAGATAGAGCTCTTGATAGAGGAGAAAACTGTAAAAAACAATACTGCACAGGAACCTGTAATGTTAGGTACATGAATCAAGGTAAATTGGAAGTCATCAAACAGGAGATAGCAAGAGGGAACATCAACATTTTAGAAATTAGTGAACTAAAAAGGACGGGAATGGGTGACTTTAACTCAGATGACCATTATATCTACTACTGTGGGCAAGAATCACTTAGAAGAAATGGATTAGCCATCATGGTCAACAAAAGAGTCTGAAATGCAGTACTTGGATGCAATCTCAAAAATGACAGAATGATCTCTGTTTCCAAGGCAAACCATTCAATATCATAGTAATCCAAGTCTATGCCCCAACCAGTAATGCTGAAGAAGCTGAAGTTGAACGGTTCTATGAAGACCTACAAGACAAAATATGCCCTTTTCATTATAGGGGACTGGGATGCAAAAGTAGAAAGTCAAGAGATACCTCGAGTAACAGGCAAATTTGGCCTTGGAGTACAGAATGAAGCAGAGCAAAGGCTAACAGAGTTTTGCCAAGAGAACACACTGGTCATAGCAAATACCCTCTTCCAACAACACAACAGAAGATTCTACACATGGACATCACCAGATGGTCAATACTAAAATCAGATTGATTATAATTTTTGCAGCCAAAGATGGAAAAGCTCGATACAGTCAGCAAAAGCAAGACTGGAAGCTGTGGCTCAGATCATGAACTCCTTATTGCTAAATTCAGACTTTAATTGAAGAAAGTTGTGATAATCACTAGACCATTCAGGTATGACCTAAATCAAATTCCTTATGATTATACATGGAAGTGGAATAGCAGTAGAAGTGACAAACAAGTTCAAGGGATCATATCTGATAGACAGAGTGCCTGAAAAACTATGGACAGAGGTTCATGACACTGTACAGGAGGCAGAGATCAAGACCATCCCCAAGAAAAAGAAATGCAAAAGGGCAAAATGGTTGTCCGAGGAGGCCTTACAAATAGCTGAGAAAAGAAGGGAAGCTAAAGGCAAAGGAGAAAAGAAAAATATACCCATTTGAATGCAGAGTTCCAAAGAATAGCAAAGAGAGATAAGAAAGCCTTCCTCAGTGATCAGTGCAAAGAAATAGAGGAAAACAATAGAATGGGAAAGACTAGATATCTCTTCAAGAAAATTAGAGATACCAAGGGAACATTTCATGCAAAGATGGTCACAATAAAGGAGAGAAATGGTATGGACCTAACAAAAGCAGAAGATATTAAGAAGAGGTGGCAAGAATACACAGAAAAATTATACAAAAAGATCTTCATGACCCACATAATCACAATGGTGTGATCACTCACCTAGAGCCAGACATCCTGGAATGAGAAGTCAGGTGGGCCTTAGGAAGCATCATATTACTACAAACAAAGCCAGTGGAGGTAATGGAATTCCAGTTGAGCTATTTCAAATCCTAAAAGACGATGCTGTGAAAGTGCTGTCCTCAATATGCCAGCAAATACGGAAAACTCAGCAGTGGCCACAGGACTGGAAAAGGTCAATTTTCATCCCAATCACAAAGAAAGGCAATGCCAAAGAATGTTTAAACTACCACACAATTGCACTCATCTCACACACTAGCAAAGTAATGCTCAAAATTCTCCAAGCCAGGCTTCAACAGTATGTGAACTGTGAACTTCCAGATGTTCAAGCTGGATTTAGAAAAGGCAGAGGAACCAGAGATCAAATTGCCAATATCTATTGGATCATCAAAGAAGCAAGAGAGTTTCAGAAAATCATCTATTTCTGCTTTACTGACTATGCCAAAGCCTTTGACTGTGTAGATCACAACAAACTGTGGAAAATTCTTAGAGAGACGGGAATACCAGACCACCTTACCTGCCTCCTGAGTAATCTGTATGCAGGTGAAGAAACAACAGTTAGAACTGGACATGGAACAACAGACTGGTTCCAAATTGGGAAAGGAGTACGTCAAGACTGTATATTGTCACCCTTCTTACTTAACTTATATGCAGAGTACATCATGCAAAATGCTGGGCTGGATGAAGCACAAGCTGGAATCATGATTGCCGGGAGAAATATCAATAACCTCAGATATGCAGATAACACCACCCTTATAGCAGAAAGCAATGAAAAACTAAAGCGCCTCCTGATGAAAGTGAAAGAGGAGAGTGAAGAAGTTGGCTTAAAGGTCAACATTCAGAAAACTAAGATCATGGCATCTGGTCCCATCACTTCATGGCAAATAGATTCGGAAACAATGGAAACAATGAGATAGTTCATTTTTTCGCATTCCAAAATCACTGCAGATGGTGACTGTAGCCATGAAATTAAAAGATGCTTGCTCCTTGGAAGAATAGCTATGACTAACCTAGACAGCACATTAAAAAGCAGAGACATTACTTTGCAAAAAAAGGTCCATTTGGTCAAAGCTATGGTTTTTCCAGTAGTCATGTATGGATGTGAGAGTTGGACTATAAAGAAAGCTGAGCACTGAAGAATTGATGCTTTTGAACTGTGGTGTTGGAGAAGCCTGTTGAGAGTCCCTTGGACTGCAAGGAGATCCAACCAGTCCATCCTAAAGGAGATCAGTCCTGAATATTCATTGGAAAGACTGAGGCTGAAACTGAAACTCCAATAGTTTGGCCACCTGGTGTGAAGAACTGACTCATTGGACAAGACCTTGATGCTGGAAACGACTGAAGGAGGGAGGAGAAGGGGACGACAGAGGATGAGATGGTTGGATGATATGAGTCTGAGTGAACTCCGGGAGTTGGTGATGGACAGGGAGGCCTGGCGTGCTGCAGTCCATGGGTTCACAAAGAGTCGGGCACAACTGAGCGAATGAACTGAACTGAACTAGATACATCTCTGAATAGATAAACTAGACAGAGTTCTAAAACATAACTGACCCACAGTTCTATCGTAAACAGTGAAGGGCTCTATGCTTCTTCTTTCCATGAAGTTTTCTCTAATGATTCTAGCTAATATTACAGGCTAGATATGGGAGACTTGGAATTCAGCTTTTTAAAAGAAAGAGCTATTAATTTATAACACAATTAAATGTGAAAAAATCCTTTT